AAAAGTGTAACATTTCATTTCTCAAAACTATGTAGCTAACAAAAAATAACTTGAGGATAGTTTAGAATGAGCACAGATGGTCCAGCAGATTAATGATTTTTTTTATTTTGGCTTTAAGGGACAATGAGTACAGCCATATTAAGCAGTCAGGAACTGCTAATATGGGTGGATATTTGCATTTTCATCATTTATAATACAGTTAATGCATGGTCACATGTTTTAGAATCAATAGTAAATTGGCAGACTAAGATGTCTAATGAAAGGTGTTGGATGCCCACAAATCAAAGGAGGATATTCATAAAGGACAGAGAAACAATGACATGTAAACAGTGCAGAGCAAGCACAGACAGTGATGGGTGAGACTCTATAGCCTGTGCAGGACATTGTGTATAGTGCTATATGCAACAAACCAGAGTGGAGCAGGGGCTGGAGTTATTTTTAATGATACTATGTAAGCACATCAAGAGTGGGAACTAAACAGAGACTGAAGAGAAAGCACAGGAGTGAACAAAGCATCTCTTCTGTAAGGACAAAAAAATTATTTCTGGCACTTTGGGTTCAGAGACATATGCTGGTACTATTATTCAACCAGTGGTAAAACAACATAAAAGCTTCTAATGATTATTTGCTAACAGAAAAAATATTGACTTCACTCTGAAATAACAGTTCTGGATCCTATTATTGTGTTGCCATGGAACCAACCCATGACACTGGCAAGCTTATATTCCATATGGCCAAAAGTAACACTCACAACTAGTAAAGTGTATATGTACATAGTATGTCAAGAGATTCCCAAATATGAGAACAATTATAAGAAAAATTTGGATAAAAAAACAGGAATAGAGATGATTTTTTTTTTTTTAAGGATGTATTTATTATGGTCAATAAATCATTGCTAATACTACTGGCAGATGACACAAAAAGAGTTGGCAAATACTGGAAATAACAGAATGGTAAATTACAAAGATGAGTTAATTATATAATGTTTGGGAAGCAGAAAATAAAAAAGGCTTGAATTCAGTCAAATGCCCATGTGCAAGGAATTGAGGTCCTATCTAAGAATTGGAGAACAGTGATTCAGAATAGAAATAATGGATCGCTGCTGGTTGATATGAGCAAAGTTCAGAGATAGGCACTATTTTCTCCCTCAAGGAAATGATTGCTATAGCATTTGGATTTAAATGTCCCTAAAAGTGGCTTTACTCTGTATAACCATATAAGTGGTCATAACAAACCAAAACAAACAGCTGTTAATCTTACTTTAGGTCAGCCAGAAGGAAGTCTTTAACCTACAGCTGAACTGCTGATAGCAGGAAGACAGGAACAGATACAAGTTTCTTCAATTGCACATTCCATTTGCTTATGGGAAGCAATCATGTTTTTCACCTTTGAAGCTGTGTGCTGTTTTCCTCTCTAGTGAATCTAGATACAAGGCTGATTCATTGATCTGGCTTTCTCAAGTTATAACACAATTCTTGTTATGCTTTAGCTTACCAAATGTAAGACAATGAAATGATCACCCAATATATAATTTTAATGTATACAATTATGATAGCGTAACATTTATTTATACCATGATCAAATTATTTTAACCTTTCAGTCTTTCTTTTGTCTTCTGTAACTGGCTGGTGAGTATGTAAAGTGCTGGGTATCATCTGTGGCCTGTGTTTACCCTATGTTCTCAATCAATGGTCACCCTCAGCAATATACTAAATTGGTCTTCAGGATTTGATCTGGCCAATTCTTGAGCAGTATCTTGAATGTAATCATGTAATTATATTGAGAGACTAACTTCCTATTTTCTGTGTAGTCCAAGCTGTATTTGGCTGAATGGTGACTTGAAAAGAAGGCATCACCTCTTCAAATGCTCCTAGATTAATTTAAATTTAAAGACACAATGCCCATTTCACATTTACAGGTAAAGAGAGTGATCTAAAATCCATTGACAGGATGTAGGAACCTTCCCAGTTAAACAGCTTCAACTTTAGCAACTTCAATTTTAGCCAATTCAACTAAATTTTATTAATTTGAATATCCCAATTTTTTTTTTTTTTTTTTTTAATGTGGGTTAACCCAGTGCACATAAAATCCTCCTTAGGGATTCAGGATAGCAGACACTGGGGCATCCTGAAGCTGAAAAATCATTCTTTTAAAACTAGGCTGAAAAGGAATGAACTGAGCAAAATCTATTAAGTCCTCTCAATTTTTACACTATGGGGTTAAGTACCACTAAATGTAAGCTTAATGGAAGTCTATTTTTCATTATTCCTTTTGTGTGTGAATAACTACATTACCATCCTGAGAAAATGTTCTATTTACACCTAAATCATGCAGAGCTTATATTTAGACCAAGCTCCTCAGGGTTACTGAGGAGAATTGTTGAGGATGGTCCTCCAGTGCTGTCCTTGTTTTATCTGAATATGGATGAAAACCATGTGGAGGTCTTTTAGCCACTCTTTGGTGCAAGGTACGTTTGGCTTAATAACTGAGGTTTTCTTTTGGTATGCTTCAAAATACTGCTTTTGTACTCCCATCAGAAATCAATGGATTAATCAGTCAGCATTCTCATCACTTTGCAACAGCTGCCTATTCTAGACTGCATTTCCTTTGACTGAAATAGATTTTGCTGTGGTGGCTACCATGATCTTCCTTTGGGATTTAGACGTGCCAGAACCAAGCAATAACTTCTGCCCAAGAAAGGATCAAAGCTTTTTCTCCTTATCCCACTCCCCCCGTCTTTCTCTCTTTTTAGAAAACACAATTGTGCATCGTGTTTCTGATGATTCACCAAGTAGAAATGGAAGAAAGAGCTTGCCAGTCCATCAGAGAACTGTGTTCTCTCTCTTCTCCTCAGGTATATTTCAAATTCAGTAGATTACAGAGAAAACATACAGCCCAAGTGGAAGCAGAAGGTTCAGTCCTGTTAAACATTAAACTGAATTTTATTTCTATAACAACTCCAAAAGTACAGTTCATTTTCCTTGTAACCTTCTATTTCAGAACAGTGTTTAATGTGCCTGCACATGAAGTTAGAAATGTGTGAAATCCTTGGTGCCTAGACACAATTCTCAGACCTCCTTAATGAAATAAACTTAGTTGCAGATTCAGTGAGCCTTTTATTTACCACTAGGTGAATAATTTCCCAGGTAACTCAGGAACTAAATCTCGCCTCTGGCCAAGATTCCTAATCAACTGGCAGTGGAGATTGGTATTTACTGGCAGAGATTCCCTAAAAGCCTGTAGATTGCCCTGCCTTAAGCTTAGTTCCTTCTCTCGACTCCTAACTATGGCTTTCACTGTCTCTTCTTCCCCAAACTGCTTTTGCTCTTCCATCCGCTTCTTGTGGGTCATCCTTGTTGTCTGGATCAATTTGTTGCTTGTCTGTGGCCTGAACACCAACCATGCTATTTTTTTTGTCTTGGCATTGGTATGTCTGTTTTAACATACTGATTGCTGGCCTAATCTCTGATTGTTCCTGTTTCTCCTCTTTGACGAGACCTTCTGGTTTCCCTAGTTCTTAGATCTGGTTTGGTCTGGCTACAGCACTTATGTCTTCATTGCAAATCTAGCAAAGGCCTGCATGATGGGTTCCTCACACCCTGGCTATAATACTGTTTCAATTTATTGTGTAGACCTTTGTATGAGATTAGGAAGGCTGGGAACCTGTCTGTTCTGTACAAACTTTTCCATATGCAGCTCTGAGAGAATTTGATTTCTCTGGGGTCAGGTACTTGTGTACCAAACAGTTGGCTATTTTTTTATCAGCTACAGCTGCTTTCACCACTTTCAGCATCTGAAAAAGAAAAGGTGATTGAAAATAAGTAGGAATACTCAAAGAAAAAAAAAACAAGAGATGGGTAAAAATATTGTCTGTCAGACACAACCTAGTGCTGTGCAGGGAATAGCTGTAAAGTAGGACAACTTTTCCCAAGAAGCATCTCAAAAACGGTGCTCCCTGATACTTCATGTCTATTTCTAATGGTCCTTTTCTGTTCTTCCAGCCTTGGTGAATATCTAGAAAGTCTCCCTCCTCAAGCAGTGGGCTTCAGGAAGGGAGAGAGACTACACACCTCTGACCTTTCACACCCGTGGTGCTGCTCTGCCTGCAAATTCTATGTACTTGTCTGTACCTTCATAAGTATCAAAAGAACAAGGGTGAGACAAGGGCCATATCGAAGCTGAAGAAGTTCTACATCCATTCAGAACTATGAGAAATACATTATATAGTCAAATATCAGTTTTGCTGACTAAAATTTAATAAATACTTCACTGTCTGCTTTTAACCAAGCAAATGGGCCAGAGGCTGGGAAGTAAACAGAATTTGTATTGTAATTGGCATGGATATCGTGTATATCAATAGATGTAAATAGGCAGAGAGGGATGACATTAATTTTTGAAACTTCCTTGGAATGTTGCGTATTTGGATAGAAACAAGCACCATCTATAATTTATAATGTGTCCTATATTATCAGGTTATATGTGTATATTTAGACAGTTGATCTACTTGGAACCTCAGGAATAAAAGAAGTTGCCCGTGTGTATGGGGGGAATTGGGAACAACACTAAGACTGTGCTTCCGTAGTACCGCACTCAGCCACAATCCAACGCAGCAAGTGATCAACAGAAACCACTCGGTGACAAAAAGCTGCTCCAGACAAGTGGAGCACTAGTTTTAAGTTAAGCACGATCTTTCAGACTATAAATTCGGGTGCATTTACAGTGAAGTCTGCGTTCAGGGAGGCCCGGCTGGCCCAGCACACCCTCACCTCCGAGTGAAGACCCTCACAGGCCCCGGGTGGCCACCGCCGTTCCCCATACAGCTCACCTGCTTACGTCCCTCTCGGCCACGCCCTCTCACCCCCTTCCTGCTAGCCGCGCCCCTGACGCTGAGCTCCGCCCATCTCCCCCTCTCCCGCCTCAGGGCGGCTTGGCCACACCTCCCCATTAGCCCCGCCTCTCCCCCGGGCGGTGCGCACTGGCGCTGCGTGGTGACGCAGCAGCAGGAGGGGTTGAGGCGGTGTTGCTTGTCTCTCCTCCCGCTCCGCGCTTCGCCGGACAGTGACAGAGCGGCGGAGCTATCCGCCAGCGCCGTTGACGGGGCCGCTCAGCCGCCGCCGGGGCTCGGGGAAGCAGCCGGCTCTGCCGCTGGCCATGGTGGCCCGCCTGCCGCCGGGAGGGCAGGAGCAGGCGCGGCGGTGGCTGCGGGCGCCATTGCGCGCGGGGGCCGCGGGACTATGAAGGATGGAAGCGGACGAAGTGACGATCCGTGAGCAGAACTTCCACAGCCAAGTGCGGGAGTACACGGTAGGTGGCACCGCCCGCGCACCGCCGTGCTTCTGCGGCCCTTCCGTTTGACCCCTGCCTTCCCCGGCTGAGCGGTCCCCCTCCTGCCTTCCTCCCTGACTTGTCATTGCGGTGCCCCGGAGGCCGCGCTACCGCGGGACCCACCCCCCCCCCCCCCCCCCCCCCGTGCTGTACTCTTCGTACCTCTCTTCTCCTTCCCCTGTTTTCCCTTCGGCCCCATTGCCGAGCAGCCGTGGGGTTGTCCCGCTCTGTCGCTTTCTCGTTGCCTGCCCTTCGCTGCTTCGCCTTTCGCCCCAGCTCTCGGGTCCTGGCTGACCCGGTGGCGTGTCCCCTGTGGGCATAGCTGTGCTTGCATCTCCCGCCGGGATGGGTGTGCAGGGGACCTCAGCCATCAAATATAGCCTTGGTGGTATTAAGGTATGCACGGGATTTCATAACATTGCTTGTGATTCTAAGATCCTCTTCTTTTTTGCTGCACTGTTCCAGCGGATGTGTGAGTAACCTTAGGTTTACCCTGACCTGTCGTGGCATTCTGAGTGCTGCTGCGTGCCTTATCCTTTCCAAGTGGAGCAATACAGAGTTTATGAGCAGTGCATGTGCTGTCCCATCTTCCTCACCCTTCTGTGGTCAAGTGGAGCGCTACACCTTACTTGCAGTTGGATGAGGCTCTTGTGGTTTCATGTTTGACTGCCTCGTAATTATTTTCAGGACTGTTCAAAGCTGATAGAGGTGTTTTGATGGGGCTTGTTTCTATTCTGCTTCAGTTCAAGAAAGGAAATATATGCTGCACGTAGGAGACACACGGTATTGCCTGTTAGCACGTGCTGGCCTAACTCAGCTGGGTAGTTGCACTCTCTCAGCAGTTAATGCTGTATAAAGAATAATGGATTTCTCAGATGAAAGTATTTTTTCATAATTCAGCTTTAAGTATCTTTAGATGTACTGAGAGACAGTATTAAATACCACTGCTAACTGATTTATGCAGGCCTATGGCAAGGTTATTTGTTAACAGAGACTTGTTTGGATCCCTAGTGTATTAATTTCTTTTCTCTATTTTACAAATCTGCATATTAAGACCTTCTTTCATCCGGTGAATTATATTTCTGGGATGTTTTTCTGAGGACTGCAAAACAAGGATGTATGAAGAGAACTGTTACTTTAGGAGATTTTCTGGGTCCTCAGTTTTTCTGTGAGTGGATGTAGCATATGTAGTGAGAGCTATGAGTGGTGGAGGGGTGTAAAAAAAGAAAAATGCTTCTTTTGGTAAATAATTCCTTAAGCATTTTTAATCTTCTTTGTGCTGTGAAAACACAGGTGTATTCACAAATTGTTCATCTCTTCTGAGCGCTAGCATCTGTCTTTTCCCTAGTGTCTGCTTTCCCATTTATATTTCTTTGTGTACTGTCTCTACCAGAGTCTTGTTCTGATACATTGTATGCTACATATCCTGCTTTTGTACCTATCAAGATGTGCACTTTAGATTCTGAAGGAATGGTTCTGTGCAGGTACTGTTACAAAGACTGAAGGTCTATTAAATTCTTAAAGAACTAGCTCATCTGTACTGCAGCTACTTCTCTAAAGCTTTTTCAGCCCCTGTAGAACAATTGCAAACTCTTCCTGTTGGTGTAGTCATATAAGAAATCACATAAGACATCAATAACTTGTTTTAGAGGTGCAGTGTTGCTTTATTTGGACAATGGAGGCAGAATATTCTTGCTCTTGAAACTGTACTTTGATCTTTAATATTGATGACAAGCCATCTATTGTTTTGTTTAACCAGTGGGGATAATAATAACAATTTTGCCTTTTAAATCATGCATTGGTACAGTTGTGATCTTGTCTTCTTTAATTTACGGTGGAAGACCGCAGGGTTTTATGAGTGTATAAACTGCTGCTGTCCACAGCTGAGTACACAACCTTCTTGTGGCTTTCACATAGCTGCAGAAGCAGTTATGATTACGCTTGTGGTTAGTTTAAGCATAACAAGTACATGGAGCATGTTGCTTACATGTACCATTATGATAATACCTCCTTCTAATCATTCCTGCTCTTGCTGGTCATGAAGTTACATGGTGAATGTAATTTCTTAAAATATGTAGATATACAGTTGTTGTGTGGGTAGTGGATTTAATCATTCCCTTGACTGAGGGGAGAGCATATTCCACCTGGCACATGCATGCAACTTTCATTGAAGCTGCAGGTGGGCTGGGGGCAATGGAGTCATCAGTAGAAAGACTTGATGTTGTGTAATACTAAAGTGGAGGAAACCTCTATGTGCCTGTAAGAAGTCGAACTTACAATATCTGGTAGTATTGTCTTTGGAGACCTAGTTGTGTGGCAGAATTTTTACTGGAAGCTAAAATGATACATTCATGAGAGAAGAGAAATCAAAGGAAGTTGATGTAATTTAAAAACAAAACCTTTTTCACTTTTATGAATGCTCTCTGTCTTCTTTGAATGGATAAAGAATTTCTAGATTGTGCTTTCTGAGGGAGTCCTCAGGGCGCATTAGGCTGAACTTCAGCATAGTGCTTCATTTCTGTTTCACCTGTTCTCTGAACTGGCGAGCTACAGAGTTTTCCATGAAGTGTTACATAACAGAAATTAAAGACTTGTTACCCTTCTGCTGGTGGTGCCTGTTTCTTTCTGTAGGCACCATCTTCTGCTAATTCCACCTTGAAAAGAAATGGTTCTGACACATGTTTGTAGCAGGGCACATGTAGTACACATTTACTACTACATGTAGTACACATTTACTACCCTTGCTGTGTGCAAGTACCCTTGCACACAGCAAGGGCAGTAAAAGATTATTATTTTTTTTGTTAATAAATTCTTCATCTGCTTTTGAGGTCATTGTCTGTGATTTTAGGGCTTAATTTAATTCTGGCCCATTTACTTTTGACCTCATTTGGAGTGTCTGTGTGGTACCTGTTTTTTCCTAGAGGGTAGGTGTTTGCAAGAAAATAATCTGCCTTGTATTTCGTTGCTTCGTGGGGATGATCTTTTATAACAGAAGGTTAACTCCCTAGTCTAGTTTTGGCATGACCCTTCAAATGTGAAATTGTGATGTTGAGGATCTGTTGTTTGGAACAGTTACTGGAAACACCCAGTTTCAGCCTTTTTCAGACTTGTATGAACTTTAAAATTTAGATTCAGTGATGTAAACATGGAGACTGAGAACTCATGAGTTAGTATAAGAGACATGGCACAGCTGTGAGCTTGCTTACAGTCAGTGGAAGCCTGGACTTTAATAAAGCTGGAGTCATACTCAGCTCTAACTAAAAGAGGTATCTTTCCAAAAAGCAGCCTTAGTTGGTTAAAAAATACAGAAAAGTGTCTGTGTTCTGTACTTGTCAGCATTCCTATGGAGGAGTTGTGAAGGGCAGACAATGTTCTGTGCTAGTCTGATACTGTCTGTTATTTTTGTACACTTAATTAGTTTGCCTTTCTTGACCCTTTAGATTCATTTATAGTTTATTTCAATGTCGCACATCCATGCAATATATTTAAGCTTTTAGGGAACTGCTTTTCCGTTGTGTCCTGCTATTATGTCTGTTTATACAACATAATTGTTCCATTTTCCACTTGTATTGTTGTGAACTGTTTATTTGAAATGCAAATCAAGTAAGTGCAATGAGTCAGTCTCTTTATATTCCCCTGGGTTTACTTTTTAGAATACTCTTAGACTCCTTTTTTTTCAAGTTTGAGTCTCCTGCTCTGCAATATTAGTTTATATTTTTAAAAGTTAGGTCTACTTTTTGCTCTTCTTTTTCCATTTATAAAATATAGGATTTTGAGTTTGTAAAAATACACACACCTGGCTATGAGATTATCTTGGCAAAATAAATATACTGTGCTTGTATTTGTAGTGTGGGAAACTACGCAAGAAAATAATTCAGTGACACTGGAATTATTAGTTAGAAAGCTTAAGAACAAGCATAGTATATTTGGAAATGACTTAATTATATTAAATATGTCATGATAAATATCAGGCTTAGTACGATAAGTCCAAATACAAAAGTGCTGTTACAACTCTAATTGCTTCTTGCAAGTCCAGGCAGATGTTGAAATGGGTGTAATATGTAGTTTTATGATTAATGATGGATGCATCCATTTGAAGGACTAAACGTTTTCAGGTGTGTAGTCTTCAGATGCCAGATTTTTGGAAAAACTTAGTTTCTCTACTTCTTAATGCAGTTCCCTGTACGAGAAGGCTTTTTTTTTTTTTTAAGCATCCCACTTTTAATATTTGTTTATTTTTGCAGATGATATGGTGGTTATTGAGTGTGTCGGTGTAAATCTGAACCTAAAAATAATTTCTAGCTGTTTAGGAAGGCCTTCTTAGGTATTTGGAACTGTGTCATGGCTTTGTTTACTTCTCTGGTTTATTTTTGTACCTTTTTTCCTATTTTGGGATAGAGAGGTGTTCACGATTCTTCTGTATGAGTGAGTGCTGTGTGGTTAATACTGGCATTTTTTTCTTATAGGGCTGTAAACAGAGAAAGCTGGTTTGAGCATTGTACTCCTGTTGTTAGTGCTCTTGTTCCTGACCAGTTCTGCCTTCTTAAATTTATGCCAAAGATAAAAATTGTAATCTTCACAGACCCTTTTTTATGCCACAAGTGATGGTATTCTGGTAGTGTGCAAGGAAGAAAATGCTGGTTAGAAGCATAGAAGATTTTAAATAAAAAACTTATTTCAAATACCAAAATGTTCTTAACTGAATGTTTATGCAAGTTCCTTTTAGTCATAAAGTTGATGCCTTTCATTGTTTCTTTTTACCCATATGCTGAAAACTTGAAGAGTAATTTGTGTCTTAAATGGCTTGTATCTCAAAAACAACTTTGCTGAGCTTTCTCAGTGTTGCTGCTTCGTTCTTAAGTCTTCTGGAAAATAATTGTAACTGAATAAAGGAGTATTTGTGGCAGTGGTATGCACGTTTAACATTAATATATAAAATGTTGGTAACCTTCTGTCATTTAAAAAAACCTACCTTTGCA